GTGGACCATTTTCTAGTTTGGCCAGAAATATATCAGCTAGTATAGGGCCCAGTGGTGAACCCATTGCCACGCCATCTGTTTGCCTATATATTTCACCGTTGAACTTGAAATTTACATTCATGGTGCATTTGAGTAATAACTCTTTCACGACACTAATAGGGACAGTGGTTTCAATTTCATTTTCTATCAGCTGTTCACCTATATATTCTACAGTCTCTATGAGTGGGACGTTTGTGAATAACGATGTTACATCCAATGACATCATCTTTAGTCCCAACGTATTTGCATTTTTGATTTTATCAACAAATTGGAACACATCCTTAACACTATATTTTACAAGCTTTTCGTGTAGAGGTTTCAATACGGTTACCAACCACTTAGCTATAGTATGGTAAGGAGAGTTATACATATCTAAAATAGGTCTTAATGGGACACCTGGTTTGTGCACCTTTGGCAATCCATACAATCTCGGCAGATGGGTTCCCACAGGTTTAATCATTTCATATAAACCCGATGAGATAGCCTGTTGGTCCCTGAGCTTCTTCAAAGATCTGGTAAGCTCATTCTCTATCTTATTATTCAAATCTTTCTGGTCAGTTGTTTTTTGAAACTTTGATTTGTCACTTAAGATTGTACTCATTTTTTCAATATAATCACTTTTATTAAGAAGAACGACACCAGAACCTTTGTCAGGTTTTGTAATCAGTAACGTCTCATCCTTAAGAAGTAAGTTGATAGCTTCCTTGTGTTTCTTCGTAAGAATGCTTTTGTAACTAAATTTATTGTTCTTATATTGGTAACAGCAGTCTACAAGAGTTGATTTAAAATGCTCTAATTGTTGATCAGAATTCACAACTAAATCACGCGTCTGACTATAAAGATTCTCGAACTGTATATCTGTATCGATGTGATTACAGTTATTACGAGTATCACAAAATTTTAGACCTAGGGATAATACCTCTAGTTTTTCTTTATCTAGTTCGACACTAGCGAAATTATGTACATACCTTTTACAGTCAGTTGGAAATTTGCTATCGGCCGTTTGATTTTCCAGACCTTTCAATAGCTGGATGAGTTTCTTCCCTGATCTCTGATCCATAAGGTTTGTAACATAGTCCATAAAAGGTATTTTCAAATCATCAGCTAAGTCATCTACTGCATACTTTCTGCGATAAACTTTCATTTGTATATCGTTTATGTCGGAATGCAGGGCGTCAATCTGATTTAGGGCGTGGCGCTTCAGTGTTTTTCTATTGGGGTAGACCCCGTTTCGTCGAAGTGACGTATAGTACAATTTTGGATAATGACCTGATTCGATGCATCTATTGATAAATTCAATAGTAGTTTTCGTTTCAGTGAACTTTACGTTATACTTCAGGAACTCATTGAGCACCTTCAACGCAATGGGTTGTTCACAACATTTTAATTGTTTAAAGATTCCCGTCATATTAAAAGACTAGTAGTTGAACGAAGAATATTCTTTTCGATAAATTCTCTTCAGGTTCTACAATTATATATCCAAATTAATAATCCGAAAAAATGACCAGGTTAAGGGCAAAGTACATCGTTTAGAGCATGTGAATTTAGGATTGTGATAAACAAAATACAATAAAATTGTTAATGTTGATATGACTTATATAGAATGTTAACTTGAATCAGCTTATATGTTAATTAAAATTTTGTACTATACGTCACTTCGACGAAACGGGGTCTACCCCAATAGAAAAACACTGAAGCGCCACGCCCTAAATCAGATTGACGCCCTGCATTCCGACATAAACGATATACAAATGAAAGTTTATCGCAGAAAGTATGCAGTAGATGACTTAGCTGATGATTTGAAAATACCTTTTATGGACTATGTTACAAACCTTATGGATCAGAGATCAGGGAAGAAACTCATCCAGCTATTGAAAGGTCTGGAAAATCAAACGGCCGATAGCAAATTTCCAACTGACTGTAAAAGGTATGTACATAATTTCGCTAGTGTCGAACTAGATAAAGAAAAACTAGAGGTATTATCCCTAGGTCTAAAATTTTGTGATACTCGTAATAACTGTAATCACATCGATACAGATATACAGTTCGAGAATCTTTATAGTCAGACGCGTGATTTAGTTGTGAATTCTGATCAACAATTAGAGCATTTTAAATCAACTCTTGTAGACTGCTGTTACCAATATAAGAACAATAAATTTAGTTACAAAAGCATTCTTACGAAGAAACACAAGGAAGCTATCAACTTACTTCTTAAGGATGAGACGTTACTGATTACAAAACCTGACAAAGGTTCTGGTGTCGTTCTTCTTAATAAAAGTGATTATATTGAAAAAATGAGTACAATCTTAAGTGACAAATCAAAGTTTCAAAAAACAACTGACCAGAAAGATTTGAATAATAAGATAGAGAATGAGCTTACCAGATCTTTGAAGAAGCTCAGGGACCAACAGGCTATCTCATCGGGTTTATATGAAATGATTAAACCTGTGGGAACCCATCTGCCGAGATTGTATGGATTGCCAAAGGTGCACAAACCAGGTGTCCCATTAAGACCTATTTTAGATATGTATAACTCTCCTTACCATACTATAGCTAAGTGGTTGGTAACCGTATTGAAACCTCTACACGAAAAGCTTGTAAAATATAGTGTTAAGGATGTGTTCCAATTTGTTGATAAAATCAAAAATGCAAATACGTTGGGACTAAAGATGATGTCATTGGATGTAACATCGTTATTCACAAACGTCCCACTCATAGAGACTGTAGAATATATAGGTGAACAGCTGATAGAAAATGAAATTGAAACCACTGTCCCTATTAGTGTCGTGAAAGAGTTATTACTCAAATGCACCATGAATGTAAATTTCAAGTTCAACGGTGAAATATATAGGCAAACAGATGGCGTGGCGATGGGTTCACCACTGGGCCCTATACTAGCTGATATATTTCTGGCCAAACTAGAAAATGGTCCACTAAAAAAGATTATTCGCAACTTCACATTTTACTGTAGATACGTGGATGACACATTCATCCTCTGTAAAGATAATACGTCGCCGCAAGAGGTTCTTAGTCGATTTAATGAAGTGCATCCAGCCATTCAGTTTACATCGGAAGAAGAGAGTGATGGCCAAATATCCTTTTTGGACGTTCTCTTGACTAAGAGAGCGGATGGATCGTTAAAAAGGAATATAAACAGAAAATGTACATGGACTGGGCAGTATACGAATTTCCTTAGCTTTGTACCTCTTCAGTACAAACGAAATTTGATCAAAAACCTGAGTTACCGTATTCGCACTATATGTTCTACTGATATAGTCGAACAAGAGCTTACCACCTTGCATAATACTCTTAGGGAGAACGGCTACCCTAGAAAGTTTATAATTAAATACATGGTCTCGAAGGTGAAAGCAAGCGAAATACAAACAGTGAAGAAGAAATCCCTGTTCATGCGTCTACAATTTAGAGGGGATGCGGCTAGCGAAATACTAACTCAGAGATTACGTAGGACAATACAAAAGTCTTTTAACGCCAGAGAACTACGATTAGTATTTTCTACACGCCCAATGGTTACACCGAAGCTAAAAGATGAATTACCTAGAATGACCACCTCATTTTGTATTTATCAGTTCAACTGCTCCTGTGGAGCGAGTTATATTGGTCGAAGTTCTAGGAATTTACATTTTCGTGCTCGTGAACACCTTCCAGCGTGGCTAAGTAAAGGTTTGATGAAGAAGGTGAACAGCTCAATATTGGCCCATTTAGTACAAACCGGTCATAGTGCCAGTATAAACCAATCTTTTTCAATTATTTATAAGGTAAGTAATTTCATGCCAAAACTGATCAGACTGAAAGTCCTTCAAACGGCTGAAGCAATAGCCATCCGGATGAAGAAACCGGAGCTTTGCGTACAGAAGAAATATGTTCAACCACTCCTCCTCCCCTGGCCGACATCAAGGCCAATTAATCAATCGTAATCTTAACTATTGAATGAACTAATTTGACTATGACCTTTCGTAGTCAATTGTAATTGCCCTTGTTTTGCTTATTCATAAATCTTTGTGTTATTATTATTATTATTATTATTATTATGCATACTATTGGTTAAACATCATTAATCTCCACTATACATGATTCATTCATTTCGCATTCACCCCTCCGTATTACGTCTTACTTATTTGATCGAATTGTAATTGCACTATTATTCCTCTCTCACCCTATTTGACCCATATTTATTTTGATCATGGATCTTAAAAATTTTAGTTAACATATAAGCTGATTCAAGTTAACATTCTATATAAGTCATATCAACATTAACAATTTTATTGTATTTTGTTTATCACAATCCTAAATTCACATGCTCTAAACGATGTACTTTGCCCTTAACCTGGTCATTTTTTCGGATTATTAATTTGGATATATAATTGTAGAACCTGAAGAGAATTTATCGAAAAGAATATTCTTCGTTCAACTACTAGCCATTAACATATCACCTTAATACAACGCTATACAATATTTGATGAGAATATGTTTCATGCCTTCGATTATGAACCAACAATCAAGTAACCGGAGGTATGTTGATACATGGTGAAAATTTGACATCAGTCAACTGATTTCAATTAGGGTGATTCATCATATTTATAAAAATTGACTGTTTCCAGTGAATAAATAGACAACCAATTGTTTTATAAATACAACTAGGTATATGAACACATCGGAAAATTCATAAAATGGCCTCAAACCTTACATGTGAATACCTAGCAAGAAGAGCACGTATACATTACGGCTAGTTTTAGATACTACAGCATTCAAGAACTGAGATATAAACCAGGACTAATGTAGTTGAACGACCGAACTACTTACTTTGAATGATATGAAAAAGCTTGAGAATGCGCTATAGTGCTAAGAATCTAGAGTGAATAAATTCATTGACTTATAGAAGTTTGTTCTCAATATTACTGAGATTGCTTATTGAACTTTGAATAAGGCGAACTCGTCGAGGTGACAGATTTAAGTCATATTACAAGTTAGCGTCCTCATTACTTACGATTTAACTATGGCTCAGTATATCCCAGTCACTATTATTGCTAACTTGATTCGTTAATTTAATTGTCAAGTAATATTTTGTCTTATTCTCTTTCGTTTTCTGGTCTTAAAACCGAAATTACTTCGAATTTTATAAATGTACCTGAGCTCCCAATTCGGGGAAAATTTTAGAATATGACATAAAAACCCGAATATTTTCCCAAATTTGGGAGCTCGGGTATCAACTCAACTAGTGTTGATGGATTCATTGAATATATTGCGTATTCGTGACACACATGAAGAGAAAATATCTCTTAATTTCTTCTTATCAACATATATATAATATTATCTCTAAAAGTTACAAATTAGGTGTGTTAGTTATTTAAAGATACCACAGATATTCGGAATTTTGAAAACGTCTTTACCCGTAACACCATAATCATAGAATGTCGACTCGGTCAAACCAGAAGTCAGAAATGAAGTGGTCCGGAGATATATTTGGAAGGTCATTTATATATGTGGAAGCGTTTGATCTAAGCTGGCTAGAAGTTTCGAGGGATGCGTAGCATAGTGTGCCCACTTGAAACTTGGCGTGGATGTATAACCGAGTGGCTTCAGCTAGGGCGTGTCCAGTTAAATTAATGAGGTCAACAACAATGTCGACGTTTTACAGGACTAACTATTTCAGTTATTTATTTACCGCCATACATTTGTCAGTAGCTTACAAGTCGGCTACAAAATTGTACATAGCACTAAGATCTAAGCTCTAACTTTTTTAAGAGACACAGATAGTCGTTTATCAGTTCATCTTTCATTCTTATTTGAGATCATCGATTGATTTACGACTATTTCATATCATCTTTGGGCTTTTCATATACGAGTTACTGGATCAAAGAAATGTAATCAATGGTTCCAAATATATTTGTTATCTTAACTTTGTATGCCTACGTAAGTCAGTGGATTAAGGATTTTGTTTGTCATTAATAATATAGTAAGAGGTGTGTTTATGGTAATACATTATGGTGATATTACAGTGTCATACATGTTTTCATACCGAGTAATCGATTCTTGGAAACTGTTGCGCAAAGAAGTGCTATCCGCCCCTTCAACTGACTCATTCAAGACAATACTAGGCACTTTTAGAAACTTATTAGAAAAGGACTAACACAGGCTTTCGACCTTATATCCTCAATACACAAATCTGAAGCCTGAATACGACGTAATATATAAAGCCTTAAGTTCCTCTCAATTCTTAAAATCAAATCCTTTCATCCTATTTTACTGAGAGTTGAAGGACAACATAGACATGATGTGGTGAAAACTGTCCAAATTGTCTTAGACATGGGTGCAGTTGCTAACTAACGATATTGGACGATGTCACAATCTATCTGTAATTAAGGATGGAAAGATACACTGTTAGGTTTCGGCTAAGTGATTAAAAGGCGCCGTAATTACTACGAAACTTTGAGAAGTGGGGTTTGGTGGATGGTTGGTTTTTGTCCAGCCCTACATCGGAATCCTTATAAGGTCTAAAAACCTTTTTATGTTTTCCTGACTTTCAACGAATCATAAGGTGATATTGATCAGGAAGCCAACCAAACTGAATTTCCAGGCAACATTTTAATTGAGTAATATCAAAAACAAAGTTAATTCATCATCTCACGAGGATACCTTAGGTGAGTTGAGAAAGTTAAGTTGATGATTAAGCACCTATTTTAGGCATACCAAATAGTGTGATATTTTATCCCAAATGTTCCACTTTCACGATAAAACTATCAGTAGAAATTATTTGCCTAAAATATAACGTTAGTAGCGTCACTCACCTACTTTTAAGCTCTGCTATTTTTGTCCGCCCTTACTGTTTAAAAGTTCCCGAAATCAAACTCGCCACTATCTATGTTTTTGTCAATGTAGTTGTATTTATCCCGGAGGTTTGTTCATAACACCTAGGTGCAATATCCACTTTAAAGAAAACGAAAGCGTTGGTTTAACAAGTTGACATATCTGTAAGGCAGTCCAGACTGCCCAAAGATCGGAAAGACGCCATAATAAGTCAGGTGTTTAAGGCTGGGAGTAGGGATTTAGTTAGTAACCATGGTCCTGTTAGCTTAACTAGTACAGTTGTAAAACTGATGGAAAAAATCATTCGGATGTCTGTTATAAACTATGTTGAAGGGCATAATCTTTTCTCCAGGGCACAACATGGTTTTCGGAAAGGCCTATCATGTTTGACAAATCTTCTCATTGCGAGAGAAGATTGGGCTGCTGCAAAAAATCGGAATATTCCTGTGGATATGATCTTTATAGATCTAAGTAAGGCCTTCGATAAGGTTTCCCATTCTGGTCTTAAATTCTAACTGGAACGTTTTGGAATCCGTTATACAGTCGTCGATTGGATAAGTAACTTTCTTCATGATAGGAGACGAAGAGTAAGGGTAAATGGAGCTCTCTCCTCGTGGGTACCTGCAAAAAGTGGAGTTTCCCAAGGTACAATCCTAGGTCCTCTTCTCTTTTTACTTTATGTAAATGAATTGCCAACTGTAGCAAAATCATCCGTTCTACTCTTCGCTGATGACATAAAGATTTGGAGACCCATACATAGTATGTCGGATAGAATAGTGTTACAAGACGATCTTAGCTCATTGGTGGCATGGTTGGACAGGTGGTCACTAGAAGTAGATCCTAATAAGAGTGTAGTAATGCAATTAAATAACTATGATGAATCGTATCACCATACAATATGTGGATTCGTGCTACTCAAAGTAAGAAACTATAAAGATTTAGGAGTCATATTAAGCAGTGATCTCAAAACCACTAGTCACTGTAAGGCTGCTGCTGCGAAAGGCTATAGGGTATTATGGTCTATTCGTAGGTCTTTCCAGTATTTAGATGATGAAATGTTTAGATTATTACACCTGATTTATGTGCAACCACATTTAGAATATGGGATTCAAGCAACGAGTCCTTGTTTCAAGTATGAAGCAGAGATGATGGAAAGAGTCCAACGCCGAGGTACTAAGATGGTACAAGGTCTATCTAGCCTATCTTGTGAAGACTGAGACACCTTAACTTATTTCCGTTATCTTACCTCAGAATACGGGGTGGTCTAATATTGGCTTATCGTATACTGAGCGATGACCTTGGTATTAACATGTCTTACCTTTTACTTCCGTCTATGACTGATCATTTGAGAGGACATTCGAAGAAATTTCAAAAACTGAGATCAAATCGTTTACGTCTGAAGTTTTGTTTCTAGCGCCGAGTAGTGAATTACTGGAATTTTCTGCCAGAACACGTAATATCAGCACCTTCTGTTAATATATCCAAAACGAGATTGAACCTCCACAGTATTACAAACTTCAAGGATTAATATAGGTCAATAGACCCCCTATCCTTATTACTAAAGACTGAATTTGGGAAAGATAAAGGGCTAAAAGCGCTTAATGTATTTTTCTCGCTCAAGGTAGGATGACTTAAATTTCGTAACAAAAAAACGAAGTAAGCGGCATGCTTTCATTTTGCAAATACTGTAAATTTACCCGAAAAATGAATTTAACGCAAATATTAACGCTTCAGTTATCATCTGTGAAGTAATAAAACGTTTCGTATTTTCTATTTGTAGTTTTGATGAAAGTTGGCCAGGTAAATAAAGAAGACTAACTTTATCATGCACTTTCGACGAAAAGTATATTTTAATTTCCACCTTCGAACTCTTTCTAAATTTATTGTTATCCTGATACTTACGTGTTTCATGTTATTCAGTATTTATGTCACAAATCGAAATAAAAATCATCTTGATGAAATTGTTATAGAAGAAACAGGCACAGAAATTTATGATTTTGGTGTTAATGTTGTTGTATTTAAAAATGTTTTCATTGATCCATCTAAAGTCGTTGGTGCAATTGGAGGTGAAGATCCTATGAAAGTCGCTAACCAACCAGAATCTTATGAACTCTTGGATTTTCAATATGGATTTATCAAAACTAGTGTTAAGCCAAATATAAAAAAGTTAGTCAAGGCACTATTTTAATTTATCCTAATACTTAAGGTTTTAGATTTACTCATTTAATGAGCGTACTTATCAATCTATAATTTTTCATATTAAATGTCTATTAGTGAATACAATTTTAGTGTAAATATCTTTAGCTAATGGTGGTACCAGCATTTCTAGATTTTTAAATCTTCTATATTTATCTTTGAGGTGATGATGAGTTGAATATGTGGTCTACATTTCTAATCGTCTACAATGACAGATGTTTGTTATTCTACAGCAATATTTTAAAAACATTGCAATGTACTAGGTTGGAATTGAAATGGTTGTTTGATATGATTTACATCAACTTCTATTCATCGTCACCAGTTCATAAACATCAATGTATAATTTTAGAGATTGACGTTTTAAAATATGGTTTGTATTATCATGCATCCAATATCATCATTTATAGGCTTAAATGGATGTCTGAAATGTCTAAGTTTCGTTTGATCTCCATTGCATTTAGAGTGTATACTGAGGGTTCAGATAATCAGAGATTAAAATTTCTTCTTATTCGTTTATAATGGTCTTTAGGATCGGGATATTGTCATAATATACCATACAAATATGTTTTAGCTTATGAACTACATCAGGAAATGTTTCCTTAGAATTTATTTATTTTCGTTTTATACTTGGATATATTATCGTTGTCTGAAAGATTTGCTTACTGCTACCATAATAAGGATTTTTATCACTGTCAATCATTTACAGGAATTCATTTGATTTTGAGCATAAGACGTTAGTAAAGCTTTATGATGAAAGTATTAAGAAAGTCATACAGTCGAGATAGGGGAATAGATGGTATAAGTTTCTTCTCTCAACTAGATGACTTGACTGTGAAGCATTCAATGTCATCCGTGATTAAGCTACTTAACTCAGAGAATAAAACTCGACCTATCTACCCATTTACAGTAATAACAAACTTAAAAAGTCATATAATTACTTCTTGTTAAGATATGACCACACATCATAAGTGATTGGAAAAACCTAAGGTCAGTCACAATCCAGTCAATTAAGTGTGCCCCCAAATGCCTTGGCACGGCCGAGAATGAGAAGAATCCGCTCTCCCTCCCGAAATGCTTTCAAATGACCACGCGTATACAGCCTCTTCCAGTGAAGTCCTACTCACTGAGTTCTCGCACTACGAGTGTTGTTTGCGAAATCGAGCGGATGAAAAACGAATGTCTGGCGCTTTAACCGGGTTGATGGACACGGAGAGTCCACCTAGGGGAGTTGGAGAACCCTGATTTAAAACGAATGGTGCACATGGACTCCGGGATCCTGAAAGAATAAATGGCGTATGAACCATTTGTTGGTCACTGGCTGCCATTGGACTGCATCTCTTTACGATGCTCCACTGCCTTGTGGATCAGACCTTCAGGTCGAAGTCTCCGGGTATGGTCCCCTATGGAAACCACCTACTTCGGTTTGGGCACCCTGGTAGTATCCCACTCCTCACACATATCAAATGAGATTTGTGTGGCGCATATGTATTTGGTGCCTCCTTGTGCCAATATCTATGTGTTGAAATAAATAAATAATACAATCAAGTGCTTGCTCACGATATCAATACTATTCTCATAATGAAAATCATAGACAGTTCTTACTTATACAACCGTTAAAAACCAGAAAGTACTGAACAACTTAACCGTTAGATAACGACCCAGAGATTCGAAAGTTTGAAAATCCTTTACGCGAAATAAAAGTTCTAGATTCTATCCCTTGTGAATGGGTTGTGGTTAAGCACTATCACTACGGTGGCTCACTCTACGATAGAACATCCATCTGGTGCTTCTGAGTTTTTGACAATTATCTAACTAAGATTAAACCATGATGCAAACTATAAGAGTTCGACAATTCCTACCAACTCCTATCCTTTAATGATCACTAACATTTTCTGTTTAATCATATTTGTTAAATAATTGAGTTTATTTAATAGAAATAAATAAAAACGACCAAAATAGAACTAATATTAGTTTTAGTATTTTATTGTTATTATTGCAACCGCACATTGACCTCGTTCAGGTTACTTATCATGTCACTATTTTGCATACATTCAACAAAAACGACTCCATAGTAAACATCAATAATAATGATAATAATAATAGCTATTGTTATTATTACTGTTAGGGCGTTATTCACTGTTTTATCATCTTTATCATTATTGTTTATATTGTATAGTTACACATGGTATATAAAAAAATTAGGACATTCTGTTGTTGGACGATAGATCATAAGTGTGTGTTTTTTTAAATCGTTTTTTTTGCATAAAAAGGCAAAACGGAGCTAAATGGTATAAATTTGACCATGTTTATATGGAATAGATAGTGTGGTTAGTAGTAGAGTTCATAATGTCTACTTTGTTCCATCTAATACACGTCAGCTGAATCACTTACTTGTCAGAGTTGGTGCCAGCTAACACGTATTAAAAATCAGTCAAAATATCAACAACAACGACAGGATAATCCAAACCATTACAAATTCAACCAGAATTCTTATCCATTTCAAAAGTTGATAGTTGTTTTGACTCAACGACTAAGTGGATAACTCACTGACGTTTGAAGCACAAGTAATTAGTTCGAAACTCAGAGCGAACATTAATTCAGGCGCAAGTGCACCCACCTGACGAATCCCAGGTAGTACCAAACACGGGTTTTGAACTGAACTAATGGTCACTTTTTATCCGTTTCATATAAACTTGTGTCATAATGGTTATATCGAGGTGACCCGTACAACATGCTTACAAATCCCTACTAAGATTGATCGGTATTCGGTCAAACAACCAACAGATTAGTAATCTAAACCATCACAAATTATATTTCGATTCGATAACGACTTATTTTGCTAATGATTAATATTAATCGGTACGAAAAAAATCGTATACAAACCAGGTAGAGCTAAATGGTCGTTTTATTTGAGTCATATATTTTTCAAAGATGTGAACCTAGTATTAATATTCCCAATACAACAACAACTACTACTACTACTCGCACCACTACTGCTAGTTCTAATCACTATGCTATTGCTACTACTAATAACCCCAGATATCTTAATAGGGACGTTATATTCTATGGGTATGTAAAATGATCTGTGGCAGTGGAATGGGGAGAATCCGCTCTCTCTCTCCAAGTGCTCTCACATGACCACGCATATAAAGCCACTGTCAGGGAACTCCTACTCACTGCCTCCTCGCACCACGAGTGTTGTCTACAAAGTTGAGAAGACGAAAAGCGAATGTCCGGCTCAGGGTTTAACCGGGTTGGTAGACATGGTGGATTTATCTAGGGAAGTTGGAAAACCCTCATTCCAAACCAATGGTGCACATGGGCTTCAAAATCCTGAAGGAACAAATGGCGTATGAACCAATTGTTGGTCACTGGCTACCATGAAAGTGCATCTTCTAACGTTGCTTCACTGCCTTTTGGATCAGACCTTCAGGTCGGAGGCTCCGGGTGTGTCCCCCTATGGAAACCACCCGCTTATTATCACAGCCCTCACACATATCAAATGAGATTTGTCTGTCGCATATGTATTTGGTGCCTCCTTGTACCAACATCTATTTGTTAAAATAAATAAACCAAACTAAGACGATTACATCCATCTGAGAATAAGATTTTATGCATATCTGAAGGTACACATTACCTAATTAGTTGTGGAAAATATTTTTCTGTTCTTTAAAGTGGATGAAGAAATAAATCCAAGAATGATAGTTTGTCATTTGATACCTGTTCCATTGTGATATCATCGAATACGTTGTTGATCAACCTGTAGGTGTTTTCCAGCTCATCCTTTTTTGATGATGACTAATGTGTTGTCCACATAACGAATTCAAATTTTTGACTTGATCATTAGTAAAATCAAGGCTTCTCGTCTCTGCATCACTGCTTCTGTGATAAATCCTGATATTGGTGATTTCATCGGTGTCCTTTTTGTTTGTTCGTGAATTATGTTGTTGAATTGAAAATATGTTGTTAAGCATAAATCGATGAGTTCTAGTAAACTTTGACTTTAAAACTTCATTTACTTTGTAAGTACACGAAGAAATAAATAGATTGTTACTAGCAATCGAATCCAAAACATACGTCTCTTTCTATTTATGAGTTATTGACTAAATGTACATATGTCCATGTTCATATTCACTATGGGACTCGAACCCAGTACCTTTTACTTCAAACACTAACACGTTATCTACTAAATTATTAAGTGTCAATATAACTACTAGGATTCAGGTATCCTGATTTCAATTGTCAATCATAATCTATTTATTTAAAATAACTTTAGATATAATTGACTATATAGAATCCATCAATTCAAGATTCACTCAACAACTGAATGAATCAAACTCTAACTATATGATAAGTTATCATAATATAGATAGAAAGATATAGTTTCATTTAACAACTTTATTGAAGTTTATCAATATTTTTCAAGAGTTGAGTAACTTAGGTTATGTACTATCCTTAAATGTATTCACAAGTAGTTCTCTATAAAAAGAAATATTCAAGATAATTATCTACTTTAATATTATTATTATACTTGACCGATATTGATTATTTATTTATAATACGTTTGTTTACGTTCTCTGTCCTTATCACTTTCACGTGACAACCCAAATGGTACAGATCAATCACGTTTAACAGGAGAGTCAGACCCCATTCAGGCTTAAATTTTATAACTCGAGCAGTACAACTCAATCCCCTCTTCACAAGAGAACCAAATACCATATAGGTTTTCACGCTACAATCTGAATAGTACAGCTCAATCCTGTGGCGCAACCACACAGGTATCAAGCACTCTGGTGGACCAGAGTATGTTATAACGTGATATATACTTATAATGTGGTGTGCACTACTTGTGTGGACATATATAAGTAGCATATAGCAGGGATTGGTAGTGGAAAGCTTAACAGTAAAGGGAAGAGGAAAGGAAACAGACAAAAACCGGAATAGCAACAAGATTGGAAGGACAAATAAATTAATAATTTAGTAAAGTTAGATATTGATTAGCTGTGGGATCTGTAACAAGCGTTTTGTCCTGTCCTCGCTTAATACAACCGAGCTATTCCCATTGCATAGTATTCTCGGACACCAATTCACTCAACAAGTCCCGAAATCAGAAAACGGTTGCACAGGAAAGAGATTACATTCCAAATAACAAGGTTAGACGGGAGTGAGAAGCACAATAGGAAAAACGTTAGTATATTTATAGTTTTTACATGAGAAGAATTCTAGTCTTCTCTATGTATCGACTGGCGCTGATTGGATGAGAATTAACCAATTAGCGTGCACCAACTCAGTCGTGCATGATGCATGCTATAATCCAATCTATGTCCCACTAACATGCCCGAAACTTGCCAGTTGAATTTACATCCATCCTACTATTGATGTTCACACTAAGACTCTACTTTTCACTGTCAAACTTTTGATGAGATATCCACTTATCTACTGAATCAGAACAGTCAGTAACTTGTTCAACACATATGTTATTCATATTTTTTCGCCATCAAGAGTTTAAGTTATCCAGTTGTTGATTCCCCATCTAGATCATAATACATCTATTTTAGATTTCATTTAAAAATATGATAATATCAAGGCAATCCGCACACAATCCATATGATTTCAACAGTGAAGTTTTAAACAACAAAAACAACATGAACATGTTTTCAACTTTGACTGGATTAAAAGTATGATGTATAAAAGAGTTAGGGGCTAGTTTTTGTTTGTTTCGATTATTCGTCTTAAATATTAACATTAATTCAGGTAAAACATTATCTTCAATTGAGATTAATCAATGATTGAACAATTTTCATTGACCGATGATCAAAATAGGTTACTTTAAATATAACTAGAAGAAGGGGTTTTATGGAGATTTTAAAAATTTCACTGGTTGAAATCATGAGTCAATTGAAGCTAGACCACTATGGAAAACCTGGAAGCAGTGGACGGGTGTTTCGTCCTACTACGGGACTTCTCAGCAGTGCACATACACGATCCCGCCCGCCCCCCGCGGGGTTCGAATCCACGACTTATCAGTCTCGCGCGCGAACGATTAGTCCTTAGACCACTGAGTCGGCCGGTATCCAACGGATTTAATGTCTAACTTCAACCAATCCACGAAGTTGTGCCACCGTACATCATTGTCTTCAGTGATTTGATACCTCACAACAAACCTGGGTTCGAATCTCGCGGGGACCGGGATGGTGGATGCGCACTGCCATGGAGGAGTCCCATACCAGGACGAAACGGCCATCCAGTGCTTCTAGGTTTTCTATGGTTATCTAGCTTCAATTGACTCATGAATTCAACTATTATATTATTATAATATCCACAAACCCCCCTTTCTGATATATATAACTTGATTGAATTACCAGTTGAATACTGTATTTTTCAACCGAAATGTGGAATAATTATCGATTATGGTATATCTAAACTAGTTAAATGAAATCTATTTAAATATAACTAAATACTGAATAAATGTGTCAATTTAGTTTATAACCTATAAACATAATACATAAGCAAATATCATTTCATTATTATATCCGTTTTAATATCTACATTACCCTGATAACCACTATTCATATTTGCTTAGCAACGGTTCAATGTTAAAAATTGAGTGATTATGAATTAGAATAAATTTAAAGTAAGTTTTATGTTGAATATCTATAAGAAGTGTTGATCTCTATTCAGACTCAACAGTTTCCATGTTTTATCAATATAGGGTTGTGGAGATTATTAAGTTTTTAATTAAGATCATGAACTGATTGATGTTAGACTACCATTGAAAACCTAGAAGTACTGGACAGTCGTTTCATTCTATTGTGGGATACCTTAGCAATGAACATCCACGATCCCACTCATGGGATCAAAATGTTTCCATGTTCGTTTGCTTCTGGTTGCCGCTTTGCTTGTTGGTAAATTGTTATCAAGAATAGACACAGTTATCAACTGTCGTTTGCATTATCGTATGTCACAATAATTCTTTATGTTATTATTTTAGAAAACTTTTTTTCCTTTCAGACTTACAGATGTACTAAGCACCACAGATACATCATGAATTGAGTTATGTAGATCACTTACGTATATTACTCAATAGAAAAACAGCTTTTTAGACAAATCGCGTGTATCTCAATCGTGTAATGAAACTCTTCAACAGATTTAACAATTAATAATAATACTAATCAATTTAATTTGTCATTGTTTGCATCTCAGACTCATTTTATTTCAACATCCATTGAAAAGCGAGAAACACTGACTATCCATTTCGTTCTAGTATGGGACTCTTCATTTACATGGATGGTGCCCAGTGTCTTTAAGTCTCTCAGGGTCAGTCAATAGCTGTATGGTTTCTACTGGTTCACACCTCTAACTTCAATTGATTTATATGTCAGCCAACTCCTCATGGGTAACTGTCACTCAAACAAGACGGTTTATATTTTCTGATATGGTAACTATTCTTATTATGCCAAGTGAATATTTGTTAAATTTGCTTGATTATTGTTCGATGTATTTATTTGTAGAGAACAATTACGTTCGTATGAAACTAATGTAATTACGTTTCTCAAATCGGTGGAGGTAATTGATTCTGTGAACTTGGATACAACAAATATATATAAGGTAATGATTTTTAAGGAATGATAATAACAAAAAATTAACAATATTTTTCACCGAAATTGATTAGTTTGATCTGTGAGAGTTCGTATTCTCTCTACATTTATGTTAAGGATTATAATTGATTAACCTCTTTTGACATATATATACGTCCTGATTGGATTACCAAATAGCTACAAGCCACCAAATGCCCTGGTTTGGCCGACAGTGGGGTGGGCCCGCCCTCCCTCTCCAAATGCTCTCACACGGCCACGCGTATACAGCCTCTGCTAGGGAAGTCCTACTCACTGCTTTCTCGTGGCGGGGGTGTTGTTTACGAAATTGAGAGGATGAAAAGCGAATGTCCGGCGCTTTAACGGAATTCCAAACCAATAGTGCACATGGGCTCCAGTATCCTGCGGGAACAAATGGCGTATGAACCTGTTGGGGTGATCCAGAAATCGCTTGCAAAAGACAAGCAAGCATCAAGAAACACCACGAAGTGTTTCGTCCAATCAGCGTTCACTTGGACTCTAGGCCAGAAATATCAAGGTAGCAAAACGTCACAAGCAGAAGCTCTGATTGGTTGGCTACTACAGTGCTACTATGTTTAGTAGCATTCCAGAATATTCCAGCGACTCAAGGACACTTAAAATATTATAAAAACCCTATATTTTCTTTAGTAGAATGAACCTTGGAGTAAAGTATTTTCCCTCATACTTGCATCTTCTCTGTGGCGTTCAAGTCGCTGTGTAGTTCTAGCTTGCGGGTTACTAGAATAGCTTAAGAAACTAATATAGCGTTCAATCGATAAGACTTATCAGAACCAATCGTTGGTCACCGGCTACCATGAGACTGCTTCTCCTCACGATGCTCCACTGCCTTGTGGGTCAGACCTTTAGGTCAAAGGCTCGGGGTGTGGTCCCCTAAGATAACCACCTCCTTCGGTTTGGGCACCCGGTCAGTATCCCAGCCCTCACACAAATCGAATGATTTATGTGGGGCATATCTATTTGGTGCCTCCTTGTACCAATGTTTATGTGTTTAAATAATAAATAATAATAATCGATTAAGGTTAGACTATGTCTAAGAGTGCAATTCAGCGCGTGCATTTCGACATATATACAGGATCTATCAATTGAATCTATCTGACATATCTTATTATTGGTATTCATACTTGTGCTCGAACCCGTTATCTTTCTCATCAAACGCTTAACGCATTATCAATTGAGTTACCGAATCCACATAGCCACTAACCTGTTTAACAGTTATAATGAACACAAACAATTGAAAAAATATCCCTTACGGATTAAAACCATACATATTCTACAAACTAGCGGTATTATGAACTCAATAGCTCAATCAATAATAAGTTGGACGTTTGAAATGAATCTTACTATATTCCAGTCTTAGCTTAAACACTAACAATAGATTGTAGTAGATGTATCCAATTGATCAATTTTAAGTCAATCGTAACATACTTCATGTATTCCACTACTAGTTATTGTCTAACTGGTCAATGAAAATGAATATCAAACATATTTAAATCTACTTTGTCTTAGTAAATAGCATCATTTATCTGTAAAAAATAGATTTAGAACGATTATGTGCATAATTTCTATGTACAGATTATTGTATTCATAATGATTTGACCTAATTAGTCCAATTATTCTATACTTAAAACAATGGAATCTTATAATCAAACTAATCTGGTTATTGGTTCTGACTAGTGGTGTTTCATTTTTTTCTTTTTAAATAATATATGAATGTAAATGATTATATACTTGAACAATATACACACACAGCCACACACACACACATACATATACGCTTAAGTGGATGTTACAACTCATTATACAAAATGAAATGAAGTATATGTGCGACCAATGGAGAAGAGTGTGCCAATAACAAAAGCATAACTGGTAAGTATTTAAGGCCACCGTGGTAATTCAAGTAAAACCAAGATCGATGTTTCTAGTGTAAGTAGAAGGATCTTACTTTTCATTAAGTCTGTAAACAGAATACTACAGGTGAATAGCCAATGGATTCTATTTTGAGCTAAATACAGTGGTGTTTCTAAAAACTTACTCAGGGAACTGTGGTGAATCAACGGATTGTTGTCTTATGTACAGTTAGCATTTGCCTCACAGTCTCATATATAAGTCTAACTATTTCTGCACCCTATTTATTTTATGAGTACACCGATAAATACTGCTCAGTATAATGAGATCTAAAATGACATGTGTAAAATATGACCAAGTCAGTGAAGCCTGTGTTTCAAGATGGAAACACTCACAGGATTATCAGGTGTATTCTGTCTAACGAACCTCTCAGTGACTTTGTCACTACTTACAAAGTGTTTCCACCACATACAAGCATTCATTCAGAGATGACAATGGTCTATGGCAGAGGCTGGAGGCAAGAGTCACATGCATAGAACAAAGCTGTTCTCAATGATGTATTATTGGACGCCCAAACATTTATAGTCAAGTCGATTTCACGACGAACATAGAGACGACTTAAAATCACATATTTTTGTATAAACGATTTCAGTGTGTTGATGAGCTTTCTTTTTCAATATGTAGTTTCAGAGCACATTGTTGTTCAACTAGTTGGAGGATAATCTGTTATAAAAAAACTGAAACGACTTTCAACATGAAATACGTGTGACCATGTTTAAACAGTTAACGAACAATAAAAAACGTGATTAATTCATCTACTACATGGATGAAGATTTACGTGCTTCTCTGAGACCACTCACTGGTTTGCATAATTTCTTTAGTATAATGACAGACAATCACGTTGACAAACTTACTTTGATAATACTTATCACATGCATTAAGAAAGCCCTTTTAAAGTGTGGTCAGATAATGAGCAATTTATATGTTGTAGGTTGGCTAGGTTAAGTCATCCTTGTCAAATGACTTGGTTCTTTTTAAGGATTGTTCCTTTCAACTCCCGTTTTCCGAGATTAACTAGTACTCACTGGCACTAACATTCTGGTCACAGTTGCTAGATCAACTCACTACTTTCCAATATTATTCGAAGCACTCCTATCGTACTTGGAGATTACTCATTATATTGCCGAAAAATTTACTGACCATTTCATTAACACGATGACTCTTGTGGTTATCAGATACACCTCTTGTTTTTCCTCTCAACATCACATCCTGACCAGCATTTTAAAGGTGTGTGCCACTGGATTTCAACTCAGTGTTCTGAAGGCAAGGAGATTGCCTCAAGGTGCTGCATTCGAACCTTAATGAGATCATGAAGACACTGTTGAGGAGTATCAAACTATAATGAAACATCTGTTTAGTGCTTTCTAGTTTGCCATGTTTGTCTACCCAAAGTTGGTTTGATGATAAAAACTAGAAAAATCCAACAATCTCCACAAAATCATCTATATCAATCAATATGTAAATGATTGCTTACTCCTGTTAATCCCAGTGGAGCATATGCCGCTTGGAGCCCCTCTGAGGCTATTGCCGGTCCAAAGCCCAGATAAAGAAGGAGGGTTGGGTTTGGAGGTAACGACCTCATCCCGTAGAAAACTAACTCGCCAAAAAACGCTAACGAGAAAAAAATTTAGTTGTAACATTATGTATAAATGTTAGTGATCTTCAATAGTACTTAATTATTATCAGAAAGGTTTTTTGTGAATATTATTGTAATTTAATAGTTGAGTTCATGAGTCGAATCGAAGCTAGACTGTAATAGAAAACCTGGAAGAAATGGACAGCCGTCTCGTTCTATTACTGGACTTCTCAGAAATGCGTATCCATTATCCCGACCGCGGGACCCGGACCCGGCCTTCAGTTCCGCGCGCGAACACTTAACCTATAAACCACTAAGTTGGCATCCAACGGTGTTAATGTGTAACATCAACCAATCTACGAAATTGCGCAACCATCTTCCAATGTATTAAGGTAGATACCTGTCTCTATCTGACATGGAGTAGCTTCACTAGTCACAACTTCTCACTAGAACTCCGAGAATTCCCTCACGAAGCTATAGTCACTAATGAGCACATGGTATTTATCAGTATAGGGTTATAGTGATCATTAAGTTTTTGATTGAGATCATGAATCAACTAATGCTAGACCATCATTGAAAACCTGGAAACACTGAATAGCCACTTCATTTCATTGTGGGATTCACAGAATTCACGATTCCTGTTTTTCCATAATGATCTCACTTCAATTGAACTCATGAACTCAACTATGAAATTACTAATTATGAACACTAAAACATTAATCAATGAGTTCATCAATTGACTGCTATTTAATCATTTAATCGATAAGTTAATCAATATGATAAAATTACAAATATGAGTTTTTGGGATATATCGTCCCCAACACTTCTTCTCTTTTTAATAGCGTACTTTTTTGGGGTCGATTTGCATCTTGACTGTAGTTCGCCACTGACGGAGAGGCCACCTTCTGGGACGGGGATCAACTTGCTGTTGAGCTTCTTGTGGTGGGGCTGCAGGTAAGTTGAAGGTATCAAGCAAGATGTCGAGGGGAAGATTTACACCTTTTGATGAGCGGTCCGGGGCTATCCGCTTCCGTAGTTGATTTTGGTGTCTAGTCCACATGTCTCTTCCCACCTTTACCTCGTACATTACTTGGCCTAGTCTTCCAACCATACGTGATTCGATCCAAGGACCATGATTTGCTCTGTAGTCTCGAGCAAACATCGAGCATCCAACCTCGTACTCAGTAATTATTACTATTATTTTAACACATAGATACTGGTACAAGAAGGCACCAAATACATATGCGCCACACAAGTCACATTCGATATGTGTCAGGGCTGTGATACTGTCCGGGTGCCCAGACCGAAACAGGTGGTTTTCTTAAACGGCCACACTCCGAGCCTTCGACCTGAAGGTCTGATCCACAAGACAGTGGAGCATCGTAAGGAGATGCAGTCCCATGGAAACCGGTGACCAACAATTGATTCATACGCCATTTGTTCCTGCAGGATACTGGAGTTCATGTGCACCATTAGTTTGGAATCCGGTTAAAGCGCCGGACATTCGGTTTTCGTCCTCTCATTTTTGTAAACAACACCCCCGCCGCGAGAAGGCAGTAAGTAGGACTTCCCTGGCAGAGGCTATATACGCGTGGCCATGTGAGAACATTTGGAGAGGGAGAGCGGACTCTCCTCACTCTCGGCCATACCAAGGCATTTGGGGGCTGTACTCTAGAAGCTTCTGAGATGGTGATGGTGTGGTTCTTGGACACATCAGACTATAGATCGTCCTGTTTTTCCATAATGATTGAACTCATGAATTCAACTATGAAATTACTAAATTCCTAATTATCAATACTAAAACATTGTTTGTTTTCTTTTTCTTTTCTTTTTTATAGGAAAAAATTGTGTTTTTAATAACACGTGTAGAATATGCTAATTTATATCATACAATGACTGATTGGTATAATACTTATATAACAATGAAATTACTTAATTTAACATCAAATAATATACATTTATTAATAACTGATGGACATCCTATAGGTAAATTAGATGAAGTATGGTATCAATTATTTAATTATTCTATATCAAGAATTGGTGCTTATAGACAAATAACAAATGATAATAATACAAATTTAATACGTATATTACCTATGAATAAAAATCATTTATTACATATTCATAAACTTATTATTATACCATATGGTTATTCAAGTCCATTATATGTAGATAAACCACTTTTATCTAATATGTATATTGAAGAATTTCGTCAATTTCTTCTTCAGAGTTATCATTTAAATATTAATAATAATAATTTATGTAATAAACATTTAATAAATAATTATAAATTACCACAAATTATTATTATTAGTCGTCGTAATTATATTGCACATCCACGTAATATAAATGGACATATTAGTAGAAAAATTAATAATGAATTACAATTATTAAATCAATTAAAATTATTAAATTTTACAAATTCATTCATTATTGATTTTAGTAATTTAACTATAATAGAACAATTAAATTTAATTATAAATACAGATATATTAATTGGTATGCATGGTGCTGGTTTAACATATAGTTTATTATTATCTAATACATCTATAGTAATTGAATTATTTCCAAATTATTGTTGTATTAATAATCAACATTTTATTAAATTGACTAAATTACGTCATATTGATTATTATGCATATTATGGTTTATCAATAAATGATAATAAACAATTAGAATCAACTTATATACCAATTGATGATTTTCAAACAATCATATTACAAACTTATAATAAATGGAAAGAAAATTGTAAGAAAATAAATGAAAAAAAAAGGATATGATCTTTTTTGAGGAGGGTAGGGGGGAGTTTCGTTTCTTTGTTGTTGTTGTTGTTGTTGTTGTTGTTGAGAAACTATTTTTGGGGGGGTGAAGATTAAATCATCATGAGTAACTTCTGCTGAGACCTGTTAATTGATTCATATTATCTATACAGTCTTATGGTATAATTATTTAATAATTAGATTGTGTATATTTATATTCTCCTTGTTATAAGCTTTATTTTGATTTATAATTTATTATTGTACGATTAATGGTTCTTATACTATGTTCAGTTTTTTGACTACTGTCTCCCACGTTCACAGTCACTTTTTGGCTTTATAGTGTAACAACGTTATTTCCTATTTTATGGTACGTTGCGATCTGTTTGGTTGATATATAAACCCAGTATGTCTGAAATCAATGATTCGACTCAATTCGCGTAGTGGAATCTAGTATTTGGTGTTCTGGACTCAAGTGGACGGGCTAGATGGCCATGTGACCAATAAGGACGCTAGACTGCCCATACCGGTCGAACGTCATTGGTTTTCGCACAGTGCTACGATTGTAAAAGTCTTATTTTGATTGGTGGATAAATCACGTGATAAAAAGCCGGACACAAAGTCATAACAGGGTTTTTTTTTGTTTTTTTTACAGTGAAATAACTGATTTAATGATGTATAAACATTTATATACAGATCTATATGGATACTAATAATAGTATTTGTGATACATTGAAAAACAAATAGATATTGTAAAGGGAATTGTACATTGCTCAGAAATAGAATTAAACATTTTTCGGTAGGGGGGAGGGATATTCTTTTCTTTTTTTTTAAAACACGAATTTTGAAGGGGGCGTTTTATCTTTTTTTAACATTTTGTTGTTGTTTTTTTTACGCTGAACTAAGTGATTTAATGATGCATATATATCTATATAAAAACCTATATGAATACATTGAAAAACAATTAGATATTGTAAAGAGAACTGTAAATCGCTCAGAAACTGACTAAATAATTTGGGGTGGGGAGTTTTTTTTTAATTTTTCGGGTGGGGTCTTTTTTTATTTTTTATATTGAAATACATGATTTAGCGATGTACATGCATCTATATGTTCATTTATATGAATACTAATATAACTATTTGTAATACACTGAAAAATAAACAGATATTGTCAAGAAAATTGTAAATTGTTCAAAAATGGACAGAAAAAAAGGGGGAAGGGTTTTCTTTTTCTAACTTTTGAGGGGGCTCTTTTCTTTTGAAAGAGGAATATCGTTAAAATCATGGCGGTTTTTATTTTGTTTTATTTTAATTTTTCATCAATGGGTAGTGGGTGATCATAATCATCGTGTAATTAATATCAACCTATAAAAAGTATAAAACTTGGTTTTGGTTGTTTGTATGTTTGTGATAAGTCCCCGTCACCACCGATAAATCTTGCGAATTGAACGCTATTCGTTTCCTAAGCTATTCTGTAACCCGCAAGCTAGAACTATACAGCGACCTGAACAAAAGAGATACGACTCAAAGTATGCGAGAAAATACTTTATTTTTTGTACAGAAAAACATGGGTATTTATAGATGTTCACATTTGTTAAATCAACATCATATTTTAGCCAATCCGCTAAAAGAAATATTATGCTACTGACTAATAGTAGCATGCAACGTTGACATTCTAGAAAGCTCCATCATGCTTTGATTGACTAGGACTCTTCGGCTCCTTTAGGGCCTCTAGAGGCTCCGTTGCAGTTCTCAGAAAGCCGATAGTTTGTTTTTATTTTGGATTGAATAAGAAAACCCACTAGTTAAACAAACTGAAGAAGTTCAGACAAGTTAGCTGGACGAAACGGAATTATTTTAAATTTCAATCGCTGAGATTATTTCAAATATACTTTTCACATATAATTTCTGCACTATAGTTTGTTATTATAACATAATAATATCTTCTGATTTAGTTGTTAGTTTGATTCGTTTCCGATTTCATTCTTGTTCTCTTCATTTCAATCTTCTGCTGGTAGGCATTTCACCTGTCAGCATAAGTAGCATACATTACATGTCTATTGACCTACTGAGTCTAGATAGTCACCAACACATTTAATTAGTATGAAGTAAATAGTGAGGAATCATGACCCTATTAGTGTTAATATTCAAGAATAGAATTATTCAGTGACTTTTCAATATCAACAAGCGTAAACCACTCATTGTATAATTTATTAGCTATCTGAACTCAGCAATTCAGTAGACAAAGCATTGTGTTTTTGGAACGAAACGTATGACATTAGAGAATCAGTATGAATATCATCATAGGTATTAATGTACATCCAGTTGATCATGACACTTGTCTCCTACATATCATTGATAGCCACATAACAAATATACCAAAGCAATTCATCTGGATTATTGTTTCATAATCCAATATTTAACTTCTGATTAATTAAAAAAGATGCATTTATAGAAATGATCCCCTGAAATATAACATTCAAACCAGTCAGCACAATCCAATAGTTTAGTCTTGTACTATGTATGCCCCCAAATGCCTTGGTACGTCTTACAGTAGGGAAAGTCAGCTCCCTCTTTCTCCAAATGCTCTCATACGACCACGTGCATACAACCATTAACAGTGAAGTCCTACTCGCTACCTTCTCGCGACATTACTGTTGTTTACAGAATTGAGAGGATGAAAAGTGAATGTCCAATGCTTTAACAGGGTTGGTGGATATGAAAAATCCACCTAGAGGAGTTGGAAAACCCTTACTCCAAACCAATGGTGCACATGAACTCCAGGATCCTGAAGGAACAAAAGGTGTATGAACCGGTCGTTGGTCACTGGCTACCATGGGACTCGTCTCTTGATGTTGCTCCACTGCATTGTGGATCAGACCTTTAGGTCGAAGGCTCTGAGTATGGTTCGCAAAGAAAACCACCCAGTTCGGTTTGGGCACTTGAGTAGTATCACAGCCCACACACAAATCAAGTAATTTGTGTGGCTCATATGTTCAAGTAAATAAATAAATCTTTTCAACATTAGATACTTTGGACTGTTATATTTTTTTTTAATAAAGTGAGATGGTCATGATGATTTGAATGATTATGAGCGATTAGCGTACAGTTTTTTAAAATGAACTTTCAGTCAGTTTTTTGGATAAAGTTGCCTCCCATTTGAGATTACAATTAGAATAGGAGTATTTTGTTATTGGAAGAAAACAATTACTTTTTTAAAGTAGTTGAATTCATGAGTTAATTTAAATTAGACCACCATGGAAAACCTGAAAGCACTAGACGGCCGTTTCGACGTTGTATTGTACTCCTCAGCAGTGCGCATCCACGAACCTGCATGCTGGGACTCAAAACCAGAACCTTCTGTCTCTCGCGCGAATACATAAGCTCTAGACCACTAAGCCGGCATCCAACAGTGTTGACATCTAACTTAAACCAAACCACAAAATTCTGCCGCCATCAACCATCTCACAACAGATCCCGTTGAACCTCACTAGTCACGGCTTCTCACTAGAAATCCAGTGTTCTGTCCAGATAAGCATTATAAATGGTAACTTTTGGGATCCATTTATGAATCAATACTATGCGTATATTTTTATTGCATAACTGTTAAGTAACTAAACTATTCATGTTCGTGTCCCACTTATTATGAGCTTTATTTTGACCTGCGAACTATTATCATACGATTTACTATTCTTAAGTTATGCCCTATCCATCACTTACTACCTCCCATATTCACAGCCACATTTGGCTAAATCTTGTACAAATGTTGTTTCCTATTTTACAGTACGATATGGTCTGTTTGGTTTGTATATAAATCCAGTATGCTTGAAATACATGATTCATATCTCAGAGGCTGAGATTGGTGTTCTGGACTTGACTGGCTGGGCTAAGCAGGAAGCAGAACCGTTAAGGACTCTAGACTACTCATACGTGTTTTAAGTATCATTGGTTCGATCGATTACTCATTGCTATCTAATTGGCGGTATCATTACATTATACATTAACAGGGCACACAGGTAACAAGTTATAACATCCATGAAATACCTCATGAAGATCGTCACTAGTGAGCATATGATGATTATAATCATACAGAGAGATAGAGGGGGGTTTGTAGGTATTATAGTAATTCAATTAATAGTAGATTACGAATTATGGATTATTTATTTCAGCAATTTTATCGATAAAACCATTTTTTTCTAAAATTCAATTCATCATTCTCATTAAAACACAATGAATTAAACGAATGAAAACAACAAAAAATTGTTCACTTAATCATTTTTACTTTGAATTCATTAAACAATCACATTTGTATAAAGTAATTTATGGGTTAATAATGAATGAATAGTAAAAAGAAAGAAAGAAGAAAGTTATGAAATCGTTCCCCTTTTTTTCTTGTATTGTAAAGACAATTGAACTGCTTATTTTTATTGGTTGTTTGTTTGATAAGCAAAGATGGATAGTGGCTAGTAGTGGAATCCAGCTTGACGCGCGTTTCGTCCTATTTGGGACTCGTCAACTGGATGTACCTGCATCTCAGTGTTGGTGTTCACTCTGGGACTCGAACTCAATACCGCTCGCTTCAAACGCCATCGCGTTATCCACTTAGCTACTGAGTACTTATAGCCACTTGCTTGTGTAATGGTTTGAAGTTTAAATTTACTTGGTGTTGTTTACTTGAATCTTCCCATTGATGTTTTAGGACTGAAATTGATCAGTCTCTTATTGGCATATGTGCATACTGTGCGTATGCCTCGATATTGCAGGTACATCCAGCTGACGAGTCCCAAACATGACGAAACGCGCGTCCTGGATTCCACTGCTAGCCACTATCCATCTTTGCTTATAAAGCTTGTAAATTAAGGCAATATCGAGACATAAGCACAGTATGCACATATGCCAATAAGAGAATGATCAATTTCAGTCCTCAAACATCAATGGGAAGATTCAAGTAAAACAGAGTTGTTTGTTATGTTTGTTTTTTAGTTGTAATAATTTGTTTAGTTTCATTTCCAACCAATCAACTGCTCACTAGTGACTGACTTCAGCAGATACTTCTGTAGTTCTAGTGAGAAGCCGTTACCAGTGGAGTTCAACCAGGTCTGTTGTGAGATATCAGCTTACTGATGACAATAGTGTGCGATGGCGCAACTTCGTGGATTGGTTGACGTTAGACATTAACACCACTGGTGGCAGGCTGGCTCAGTGGTCTAGTGTTTGAGTGCTCGCGCACAAAACCAGTAGGCGCTGGGTTCGTATCCCGCGGGGTGCGGGATCGTGGATGCGCAATGCTGAGGAGTTCCATACTAGGATGACGCGGACGTCCAGTGCTTCCAGGTTTTCCATGGTGGTCTAGCTTCAATTGACTCGTGATTTCAACCAGTGAAATCTCTAAAAATCTCCACAAAATCCATTCTGATAATAAAACTTATATGCTAGTTGAGTGGAGCATAGATGATTAACTATCTAGTGAATTAATTAGGGATGGTACAAATTTTTTTAAAAATACTAAGTATTATTGTAAGCTTGGAGACTTTTAACTTTTGTAAATGTCGGAGACGAAATCGAATTGCCATGGGAAACGAGAAGGGTACGCTATCAATTGATCGAGAATCGACTGATCTAAACTGGTTAGCGATTGCACGAGAAGTTGAGCACGGCATTCTCACACATGATCCGGTGTGGATTCATGACCGAGCGCTTTCAGCTAGATGAGTCCATTAAAACGAATGTGGTCAACATCCAATATCGAAGACTTACAAACAGAGTTATTGATTTTGGAGATTTATTTACCGCTACAATAGCTTTTATTTATTATTATTGTTAATCTATTTCATTTGATTGTTATCACTGATTCATAAAATCTCTTGATTGAATTAAGATTGTTTCATATATATATCCATATCAAAATTGTTATATGTATAACAATAATTTTAATCATTAATTTAGTGGTGAGACTATAATTTATGGACGACCTTTGAGCAGCTTTAAAGTGCTAAATGAGGATTATAAATCTTTTGTGAAATATA